GTCGGCCTCCCTCCGCGCTCGGCTGCTTTGCCTCTGGCCCGCCGGCACCGCAAGGAGTCGGACGCTGCCGCTCGGGTGGATCTCCCGTCCGCGGGCGCTGATGCGATTGTCTCTGCTCCGCAGCCGGAGAGGCCGAAGCACTGAGGATAAGTGACTTGTCCAAGGTGACTTCGCAGCCGAGTCCGAGAGCGGACTCTGAAGTCCTGGCTCCAGCCCCCTGCCCTGCCCGCATCAGTCGCTAACATCGCCAGAGCTTTCTTCCGTGAGCACTGCGGCTGCATCCCGCTTTGCCCTGCTCCGCTCTGCTGCTCTGCGAGCAGGGACCGCTGCTACCTGCCTGCTAACGGGAACCAGGGGAATAGCCGTAGGGAAGCAATGCACTGCTTCAACGCAGCCGCCAGCACGCCCGCCGACAGGTCATTCTTTTTTACGGTTCCTTTTGTAAGACACCATTTGCATGCGCTTCTCCCCAGCGCGGGGACGAGCCCACGCTGCAGGGCCGCCGCTTGGAGCACGACGCCCAGACCTGTGTCCGGGGGTGCCTGCGACCCCCCAGCTGCAGGGTGGAGGAGGGAGTTTGCGGCCGCCCCCTCCCCGCTGCAGCCCCTGGGGCTGGTGCCAAGCCACCTGCATCAGCCCTCGCGCACCGGCTGCGCTTCTGCTCGCGTAGGTCATCCTTGTGTCGACGGGCACAGGGAGCCTGAAACCGAGGGCGGCCTTTGCAGCACTTGCTGGTGGGAAACTCCCTTGAGAGGCGTTTTAGAGGGCATAGTTCTTAAGTTTGTTTCAAGTGAGCTGGAGACGCGAAAGGACACGTAAGTACCGGGCTCCCTGCAGGATTTGGGTGCTGGTCCCTGGTTCAAAGTGCCTCCTCGGCTAGCTGCAGTGCAAGCTGCTTTCGGCACGGGGCTGGCAGCGGGGTGGGGGAGGGACTCGGAGACGCTGGAGACCTTGGGGGTCTGGGGTCCGGGGCGTGGAGGCGGGAACCCTCTCCCCCAGGTCGCTCGGGTGGGCTGGGAGCCCAGAGGCGAGGGGGAAGGGGAGAGTTTCTGGGCAGGTCTCTCTCTCTGTGCGTTTCGGGGATGCTGTGCTCTCCAGGGAGGGGCAGCGGGCTCCTGGCTGCACCAGAGAGCCACGGCACAGCTTTTTCCATCGGTGCCTGCAGGAAGGGCAGGGCCCGGGTGTCCTGTCCCAGAGCACATCGTGCCGGGGCTCAGGCTGGCCCGGGAGCTCTTCCCTTCCAGCCTCGGTGGAGAGGAGCCGGGCCAGCCCGCCAGGCATGGCTTGCTGTCCGTGCCAGGAGGTCAGATTGATTTTTACGGGCAATGAAAGATTTTATGGAGCAGCTTTCTGACGGATGGTGGGGGCGTCCCGTGGCTTTTCAGGTGAATCCTGTGCCCTTTCCATTAGGGCAGTGATTCCCAGACGGCGTTCCTGACAGGCCGCAGGAAAAGCGGGGGACTGCCAGCAGCCTGTGGGGGGAAAGGCTTGCTCTGGGCCCCGGCCCGGGCTGGAGGGCTATCGCTGCCGTCGCCGGGGCTGGGTCCCGGGTCGCACGCCCAGCCCCGCTGCACGGAGCTCAGTGGCTCTGGGACCCCTCAGCGGGGGGCTTGCCCCGGGTGCTCACCCTCTGCGAGAGCAAAGAGCGGGCAGCCAAGGCTCTGGCGGCAGCAGGGGCGGCTGCTCCCCGGTCCCCCTTCCCTGCCTCTTGGGGAAAGCTTGTGCCTGCAGGCGTGGGAGGCAGCCGGGAGCCCCCGGAGGGGCTTGCCCTGCGCCCTGACGGCCGGGGCTCTGGCGGTACGAAGTGCAGCAGCTTTGGGCGTACGGAACAGTAGCGGTGGCAGCTGGTGTGGCAGGTTTAGTCAGTAATCTCCCAGCCTCCCGATGTGCTTTATTTAGTGGTAACATATCACTTCTCTCTTCCTGAGACCACAGCATGACAGGAACAAGATCAGCCTCCGTTTACCCCACGCGTTCAATTCAGATTACGTTCATGACATTATAACGGTGGCAGACAGGATTAAAAGTGTTACAGGCGGCAAGGAATCGTCTTTCCTGTAAGCGACTGCCCCCTTGCAGCACCCTGCCCGCTCAGGCATACCTGCAGAGCCAGGCATCCCTCCGCTAAGTCGTGCTCCAGGTCGCAGCTCACGATTCCCCCGGGACGCTCCTGGCTGTGAAGTCCCCTCTGTGGCATCCCCAGGGCTGGTCTTGGCGCCCGACAACCGCAGGAGGCCTCCATCTGGGGGGAACCACTCCCGGGCGTTGGCTGAAGCCCCTCATGCAAAATGAAAAGTGCTTCTTTGTAAACTTGAATAACTCCTTCCCTGCAGTGCTTGCAATGCAGCACTGCAGCAGGGCCCGAAGCCCAGGATGCGGGGCTCTCGGGCTTGGCTTGGGCTGCGACGTGCCTGGGGAGTTGTTAGCGCGGGCATGTGTGGGAGAGTAAATCAGCAGCTGAAGCGGCTGCAGAGAGATGCGAATCTGAAGCTGAGGGCAGGGTGTCCAAGTGAAGGTGTCAGTGGAGCTGGGGGCCAGCTTGTAGCTCTGGGAAGAGCCGTGTCCCCTTGGTTTGGTTGTCAGAGCGCCCAGGGAAAGCTTTGTAGGGACGCTTGGGTCCCTTCGGTGGCTGAGGTCTGGGAAGGGGGGGGACAGTGCTTTGCTGGGCTGTATTGCATCTTGGCCGTGCCACGGCACACGAGCGGGACAGGGTCCCGATGTGATGGGGATGGAGAGTGGGGCTGCGCCCCAGGCCCGCAGCAAAGCGTCCCTGTGCCCCCCGGGAAGGGCTCGTGTGGGCACTGCTGGCCCAGCCCAGTGCAGAGGGGTGCAGTGCCAGGCCCCCGCATGGGACCCCGGAGCTTTCAGGCACGCTCTCGGCTCTTGCAGCCGGGCTCATACCGGCTCCTCGATGCGTCCCTCCCTGCTAACGGGGAGGAGAGGAGCGGGAGAGCTGCGTTCTGCGGTTTGAAGGTCATCCGTCAGCTACAGCGGGAGCCGAAGCTCTCTGCCAGGCAGGCGTGAGGGGTGCCGCCCCGGGGGTCTGCCCAGGCCTCAGGGAGCCCGCTGTGCCGGCTGGCTGCGAGAGCCCTGCCTGGGGTGGGGGACGGGCGGAGTGGCAGGCGTCCAGGACAGCAATGCTAATTACTGCTCCAGCTGGCTGCTTGAAGAACAGAGCGCTCTGCTTTGCTTTGGGCTTTTTTTTTTCCCCCCTTTAAGGTTTAGCCGAAGGCCTTCTGGATAACATGCAAATCAGGGCTTTCATTTGCATGCGTTATTCGTGGTGATATTATGGTTCCCTTTGAATCCCCGCTGCCTCTGTGGGTGCCAGCCCGCCCCTGCCCTTCCTCCAGGAGCAGGTCCCTTATCTCTGCCGAGCTGTCCTGGGGCTGGGGCCGGCGTCAGGCGCGTGTGCTCCGGCCACGCCGCTGTGGCAGCCTGCGGTGCCAAAGGGGCCGGGGGGTAACAAACCCGTCCCTGGGCTCTGGGAGGGGAGGAGGGCTGCGTTCGTGCCCCCTGTGCTGAGGCTGCAGGGAGGAGGAGGAGGAGGAGGAGGATGCCGTGGGTCCCTGCCGGTGCCAGGAGTGGGACCTCGGGGGGCAATGGCTGAGCCCCGCTGCCCCCCAGCTCCCTGGGAGGGGATCCCCGCTGCGGCTGATGCTCCAGCCGGAGGCCGGGCTGCAGGGGGGAGAAGGGGTCCCTCCCGTGCCCCGTTCTCCCCCCTGCCCCGTCTGCCCCAAGGGTGCGCGTCCGCAGCAGAGCCCGGCAGCAGGCTGCGCTCCGTCACGGCCCCGGGAAGGACCGGGCTGCAGCGGGCTGGGCTGCGTGCCGGCGCCGTGTCCTCACTCTCTCCTCCCTTCTCCCTGCCAGGTTTGCACGTCTTCGCCATCGCCTTCGCCTTGGAGGTGTCGGTGGGGAAGACCAACACTGTGATGGCTCTGAATAACTCCGACGTCCTGCTGCCCTGCACCTTCACCACCTGCATAGGCTTTCAGGACCTGGTCTTCACGTGGTATTTCAACTCGACAGAGATGGTGGGTGGCTCTCGGGGCTTTGCCGCTGTCTTCCTGGCGGGTCCGTTGGTACTTTCCCAGTGCAGACCAGCACTGCAGTTCTCACGGAGTTCCCGTGCTCCTCTGGCAGGGTGCCCTCCCTCCGAGTGTCTCCAGCTCTGGAGGATGGGGCTGTGCAAACAGGGTGCCTCAAATACCCCGGCGCATCTGTGCTGCTGGCACAAAGCTGTTCTGCGTTTTCTGCGGCCCACAGGCTCATTTCTTTTCGTAAATGGGCTGTTCAGGTGCAAGGCTGCGCTTTGGGCAAAATATAGTTAACTTTCTCCTCCTGCGCTTGCTCTGAAATGCTAAAGGGATAGATTTGCTTCCTGCTGGGAATATTCTGCTCTTCGGCTCCATAGCAGGAGGGCTGGGCGAGAGCCGGTCTGGCCTCGCAGGCTGGCCAGCCCTGGATGGCCCTCGAGCAAAGGGACTCTCTCTGCCCTGGGCTTCTCCCATCTGTTGTGGGGTCTGTAACGTTGCTGCAGGGCAGGTCAGGCTGATCGGTTGCTTCCCCAGCGGGCTGTGCGTCAGGTCCCCATCGACGGCTGTTCCTGCTTTAATGGGGTGTGCCGGGACGCCTGGCCGTGTGTGTCTGTGCGTGCAGAGGTGGGGCAGGGCGCCGGCAGGAGAACTCGAGCCTTTCCCTCAGCTGGGGATGTCGGGAGCCCAGCTGACCCCGCGTCCTGCATCCCTGCCTCCGCAGATTTACCACGGCAAGATAAAGAGCAAAGCCTCGGAGCCCGTCCTCGTGGGACGCAACCCACGGGTCGAGTTCGTCGGCTCGACGACCGGGAAGGACAACAACATCTCCATCGTCCTGAAGAACGTGGAGTTCAGCGATGCTGGGAAATACACCTGCCACGTCAAGAACGCCAAGGAGAAGCACGCGCAGCACAACGCCACCATCTTCCTCACGGTGGTCCAGAAGAGTAAGTGCCGGCCGCGGGTCCCGTGCCCCGCGAGTGGCACCGGGGCAGTGGGGATGCAGACCCGGGCTGACCCCGCCCTGGCTCACGGTTGCGGCAGTGCACGGGGTGTTCCTGGCTTCTTGGAGGTAGTTGGCATCCCTGAAGGGCAAGGCTTGGCCTCGTGCCCCGCTGTGCCCTGGGCTGGTGGCTGGCGGAGGGGGTCGCTGCTTTTCGGGGGGGGGCGTGCAGCTGGAACTCCCTGCTCCCCTCCTGAGGCCCCTCAGCACCTTCTCTCCTGCAGTGGTGGAGACAGACAACACTGTGACGCTCATCATCGTGGGCGTTGTAGGGGGGCTTATCGGCCTCCTCATCCTCTTCATGCTCATCAAGAGGGTTGTCCTGTTCATCATCAAGAAGACCCAGGATGGGAAGTGAGTGCGGGTGCCGGTCCCGGCACCCTTCGGCCGGTGCTGCCGTGGGGCAGGGGGTGAGAGGGGCGGGG